GCTATTTTTCAGTTGCAGCCATTATTGTTTGGCGGGCCGGGCTGGATTCGAACCTGCCACCTTAGGCGTATGTAGCTGGTGCCTTAGCCACTTGAGCCACAGGCACCGAGCCTGGGGACAAGTCTTAAGCTGTTACCCTGGGTAGAGTGCCGAGGCATCATAGCTCACAGCAACCTCAAATTCTTGGGTTCAAACTTGCCTCAGTTTTTCTATTTTTAGTAAAATTGGGAGTCTCACTTTTTGCTTGGGCTGGTCTCGAACTCCTGAGGCCACCCATCTTGTCCTCCAACAATGCTCAGCTCACAGGCATGAGCCACCTCGCTCAGCCCATTAACTCAATCTTAAAGCCTTAAGTGGTAAAGCTAAAATTTAATCCCAGGTTTTTGCACTCCTAAACTCTTTTTTATCTGCTTTATCCTGTGACCTTTAACTGATCTGTTGCCAAAAGATAACACTTGTTAATTATTTATTTATTTAAGAGACAGAGTCTCACTCTGTTGCCATGCGAGAGGGCCACAGTGTCAGTCAAGCTTACAGCAGCCTCAAATTCCTGGGCTCAAGTGATCAAGTAGCCTCTCAAGTAGCTGGAACTACAACACCCAGGTAATTTTTTATATGCTGTATATAGACATACTGTATTTCTTACAGTAAAGCTAGGGAGAAAATGTCACTAACAAAATCACAGCCTAAGGCAACATAGTGAGACCCCCCCCATCTCTACAAAAATTTTTTTTAAACTGGATATGATGGCACATCCCTTTAGTCCCAGCTACTCAGGAGGCTAAGACAGGAAGATTATGGGAGCCCAGGAACTCCAGGCTACAGTGAGCTGTGATTATGCCACTGCATTCCAGTTTGGGTGACAGTCTCTTTTGTCCTAAAAAACCATAAGAGGGTCTCAGTGCGCATAGTTTAGCGGTTAGGGCGTCAGCCACATGCACCAGGGTTGGTAGGTTTGAATCTGGCCAGAGCCTGCTAAACAAAAAACAGCCAGGTGTGGCAGGCGCTTGCATTCCCAGCTACGGGGGAGGCTGAGACAGGAGAATCGCTTGAGCCTTAAGTGTTGGAGGTTGCTGTGAGCTATGATGCTACAGCACTCTACCCAGGGCAGCATAAAACTCTGTCTCAGGGCAGCAGCACCTGTGGCTCAAGGAGTAGGGTGCCGGCCCCATAAACCAGGGTTGCATGTTCAAGCCCCAAGCCCGGTCCCAGCCAAAAATAATCCACCAGGCACGGTGTGGCTCACGCCTTGTAATCCCAGCATTGTGGGAGGCTGAGGAGTGAGAATTGCTTAAGCTCAAGAGTTCGAGACTTGCCTGAGGGAGAATGAGACCCCCAACT